GAGATGGAAGGAGGGAGGGGAAGAAGGAGGGGGTGGAGAATAAAGGGAGGAGGAAGGAGGGAAGGAGAACGAGGAGAGAAGAGGAGTGTCTCAGGAAAAGACAACTTTGAGTGCAGTCAGTGAGATAGGCATGATATACCGACTGAGCTATCTGATTTTATTCTGGATTTCTAGACTAACAGCTGTTTTTTTGATAAAAACATGTTTTTCCTTGGTGGTCAAAACCAGGATCTGAAACCATATGCCCCAAGGGGTCTTAACTAAGTGACCGTCTGCAGCCCTCAAAATACATGTACTCAGGAAGAGTGCTGTCCGGGTGCTGTTGGCAATAAGATATTTTTGCAAAATAGACTAAGAAAATACATGTGAGCATCTTGTGACTATGATCTAAGCATCCTGTGAAACTATCTGTAATCATTAACTATACTATTAATAATCAGTAACCAATCAGTATGAGTGTTATAATATTCATTGATTTTTCTGTAACTATCCTCCCTGTGGTTTGGTTTCTCTTTTTACCCCCATCAGAATACTTGTATAATGAAGCTGCCCAGTGACTGACTACCTGGTTCCATTTTCAATGGGCTATGTGATTCCCCAGTTGCAATTGTTTTAAACCCTTAATATACCTGTTTTAACTTGAAACGGACTTCAAGTTCTTCTCTACAACAGGGAGAAGGGGGAAGGGAGGAAGGTACTTAGGAGGAGGGGGAGAAGTGGAAGAGGAGGGAGGGTAAAAGAAGAGGGAGTAAAGGAATAGAGAGGAGGGGAAAGGGGGGTAGGAGGAAGGACGGAAGGGGAGGTGGGGAGCAGGAAGAGGCGCCGAGTCTAAGCCCGCTGGCTGCCCGGTGGCCATGTCGCTTCACCAAGCAGCAGGGAGAACTGCAGAGCTGGACACACCCCCTTCCCCGCAAGTTTCTCCCGGGCTTCCTGGGGTGAGAAGGCAGGCGCAGAAACGGGGCGGGGACTCCGGTAACCCTGGGAGCTTGGGCCTTGGGGAACAATGGGCGGAAGGTCTGGGTAGGGGGCGTGCTGGTGAGCTTTCTCCGGAAGAGCCTTTCCCAGCTTCTGGCTTATGCAGGCTGGTGACGGGTTAAGTCACTTCAAGCCTCTGGGCCTGAGTGGCCATGTCTGTCATAGCACGGAAATGAAATTCCAAAAACCAAACCAAGCCCATGGCCTGCAGTGGATTTCCGACTCATAGCGAACCTGTAGGACAGGGTAGAACTGCCCCACAGGATTTCCAAGGCTGTAAATCTTTATGGAAGCCAACTACCACATCTTTCTCCTGCTGAGTGGCTGGTGGGTTCAAACTGCTGACCTTTCTGTTACCACCCAGTGCTTAACTTTTGCACTCTACCTGGACTCCTCTGTCATACAGAGTCGCTATAAATGAGTCCTAATGGATTCCATGGAGCCCTGGTGGCCCTGTGGTTAAGTGCTCTGCTGCTAACTAAAAGGCCAGCAGTTGGAATCCAGCAGCCACTCCTTGGAAACCCTATGGGGCAGTTCTACTCTGTCCTATAGGGTCGCTAGGAGTCGGAATCAACTTGACCACAATGGGTTTGTTTTTTTTTTTGGGGGGGGGGAGGCTCAAGTATTGGACTCCATGGCAACTAACAACAACAACAAAAGCCTTTAATAGGCCCGATGTTTATCCTGAGTTATCAAGTGACCTTGGCCTGGAGGAAAAGAGCCAGAAGGTTGTTTTCCCTGGAAACCCCCATGCCCCACCCCTGCCTACCCTTGTCCCTGTCTGGAGTTTTCCACATGGGAGCTGGGGCAGTCACAGCAGTTGGTTGTCAGTGGCTATAGGGCAGGCTTGTGAAAAGCTGATAAGCTTTTGCTTTTGGTTGATTTATACCATAAATAACAACCAAATCAAGAAACTCTGTTGTTGTTAGGTCCATCAAGTCGGTTCAGACTCATAGTGACCCTACGTACAACAGAACGAAACACTGCCTAGCCCTGTGCCATCCTCACAATCGTTTTTATGCTTGAGCCCATTGTTGCAGCCACTGTCCATCCATCTCATTGAGGGTCTTCCTCTTTTTTGCTGTCTACTTTACCAAGCATGATGTCCTTCTCCAGGGACTGGTCCTCCTGATAACATGTCCAAAGTACGTGAGATGAAGTCTCGCCATCCTTGTCTCCGAGGAGCATTTTGGCTGTACTTCTTCTAAGACAGATTTCTTCGTTTTCATGGTATATTCAATATTCTTCACCAATACCAGGATTCAAAGGCATCAATTCTTCTTTGGTCTTGTTTACTCATTGTTCAGCTTTTGCATGCATCTGAGGCGATTAAAAACACTATGGCTTGGGTCAGGCATATCTTAGTCCTCAAGGTGACATCTTTGCTTTTTAACAACTTCACGAGGTCTTTTGTAGCACATTTGCCCAATGCAATGCGTCTTTTGATTTCTTGACTGCTGCTTCTGTGGGAGTTGATTGTGGATCCAAGTAAAATGAAATCCTTGACTTCAATCTTTTCTCCGTTTATCATGATGTTGCTTATTGGTCCAGTTGTGAGGATTTTTGTTTTCTTTAGCTGAGGTGTAATCCACACTGAAGGCTGTGGTCTTTGATCTTCATCAATAAGTGCCTCAAGTCCTCTTCACTTTCAGTAAGCAAGGTTGTGTCATCTGCATATCACAGGTTTTTAATAAGAAACTCTGGGAAGGATAAATTTGAGAACTCAGAAAATTAACTCATGAGGTCATTCAGTACCTAAATATTTATTGAGCTTCAGTTGTGATTTGGAAGCTCAAAAGATAAAGACTCAGTGCTTCCCCCCCCCACCCCCCCCACAAAACAGTTGACTCTCATCACAGGGAGGGGAGACCATTTCCAGCTGGAGAGATCAAAGTTTAGAGAAAAGTAGTAATTAAGCCGGACCTTGGATTTTAAAAAAACCAAAACTTAATTATAGAAAAATGTTAAATCAAAAGTAGACAGAATAACAAACTGCCATGTACCCACTCCTCAGTCAATAATTGTCCAAGTCATTGGGCCTTGGATTTTGATAGAATAGTGCAAACAAAGGCCTAAAGGGGGAAAAGTTCAAAATACGTTCAGATAAAAAGATGGCAAAAGGGTGAAGCACACCAAGAGGCCTTTAACTAACTAAATGACAACTTCTTTGAGCTCCAATTACATCTATGAAATAAAGTTGAAGTAACTTAAGGGGTTCTCTCTAACCAAAGGTGGGACAATTGGAGTACCATAAAGAATTGTGATAGACTGAACTCATGAAACATAAAGATCCATTAGTGTCATAAGGATACCCCCACCAAAATTGGTCACTTTCAGAGGATACAAACTCATTATTCTGAAAATTGGTAAATAAAGGGGGAAAAAAATCAAGCATTTATTCTGCATTTTGGGCACAAACATACCACAAAATGTAACCAAACAGTCGATGAGGGCAAGTTCTTCTTAACAGAAAAATACCTAGCTTTAAAAAAAAGAAGGAATGATAGAATATCACCATTTTGCAACCCCTCATTCTAATGGCCTGGAGTCATGATCCAAGATTGTGTTCTTACCTTCGCAGGATTCAAAGAGCAATGAAATTGAAGAGTGCAAACGGTTGACAGAAAAGCCCCCAACAGCTACCATATTACATTTTTGCTTTCATCTTACTGATTAGAAATTAGTTGCACGACCACAAATAGCTGCCAAGGAGACTGGGAAAGTAGTCCGTATTTCTGGGCATCAGGTACCAGCTAAACTATGTAATGAGCATGGGTGGATGTTGGGAAATACCAAGAGGTCTTTACCACAAAAAGTACATGGATATTTTTCATACCTGATACAGACTCAGATAATTTAAATTTGACTTCAAGGGTTAAATTGGAAACTACAGTATAGTTATGATGCTTTCTGCTACAAGTTTCAGAAAACTAATTCAAAATGAAGGAACAATAAGGAACTTTAGTTACTATCTCAGGTATAAATTCCATAGGTAGGACGGGCTCAGGCATGGAAGGTAAATCAGGGTTCTAGCTCCACAAAATGGCTACTATAGTTTCAGGTATCATATTTAGACAGAACATTGCTCAGAGGCAGAAGGACCTTCTCCTATTATGCCTCTTTCTTAAAAGTGAAGAAACCTTCTCCAGATGCCTCCCAGCAGACTTCCCCTTCTGAGACTAGCCAGAACTAGATTATATACACATTGCTAAAGCAATCACAGGCAAGGAAAATAGGATTGCCATGAATGGTCAAACCACTCATATAATCCAGATCTACCTCTGAAACTGGAGATGGGAATCACCTTCCCTCGAGTCACATGGGGGAGGGATAGATATAGGACCACCACTTATAGTTGTGCAAGTTGTGCACTCCACAGCTCCAGGGGTCCCCATTCACATGCATACCAAAAACACCAAACCATTGCCATCAAGTCACTTCCTACTCATAGCAACCCTACAGGGCAGAGCAGAACTGCCCCATAGGGTTTCCAAGGATCAGCTGGTGGATTGAACTGCCAACCTTTTGGTTAGCAGCGTGAACTCTTAACACTGTGCCACCTGAGCTCCATTCACACGCATAATCGTTGTCATTTGTAAGGTTATTATGACAAATTTCCAGCAGATGGGAGTAAAGTACTTGCAGAAAAGATGCCTTTTTCTGATTTGCACAAAGTCAATGCAAGGAGATTCTGCTGGAAGGTGAAGGTGCTTGGATGGTAGGTAATGAGAGTTCTGCTACAGAAAATAATCTACTTTATCGTAAACCCTTCTAAATTGTATGCGGTAAATTCTATCTTAATGAAATAATCCATTCCAGCTTTAAGAAAAGTTTTAAAAATCTTTATTCAATTCCAATGTAGTTACTCTGAGAAAAAGTCCTAGGCAAATAGATATCCTAAACTGAAAATCATCACGTACAAAACCCAGTATCATTACCAATAAACAAAAGTTTAAAATAAACTGTCACAATTGATTTTACAAGAGCAACAGCATTCATACATCAAAGGCCCTACCCTCTCTCTCTTTTTTTTTTTTACTATCAAATGATTAAGGTATATAAAAAATTACTATATTTTAAGAAAAGATTAAATGGCTAAAATATTCTCACGGTAGATTAATTCAATTTTATAAGGCATGATTTTAAGAAATATAAGATTTAAAAGGTGAAAGCATTATAATTCCTTCATTATTTCTATCAATTATGTGTCCACAGAAACGGTAAAAATAGTCAAAACTAAACAAGCAAACAAAGGATAAAGTTAGGAATACACAGTGACATGTCAGAAAAAAAATTTAAGTGGGAACTGGTTAATCAATTTTCTTGTTCCTGTAATCTGTACATCTTCTAACATCAAAGCAAAACTGTACAAATGATGATATGATAGAGAAATGCAGGGAGGTTTCTCTGGATCAGTTTACACTTTAGGTCAATAATATATGCAACGTGTATGATGAAATGGAATTCCATTCATGTCAGCCCTATGATCACGGGCATAGTCCCATAAGTAATAATCCAGAAGAATGGAATTGATCTCTCCACTAATTTTTTCACCTTTTTTTTCAATAAGCTCCAAAAGACAATCCCGGATCAGCTCAACACACCAAACTGAGCACCCTCTGATTTCTACTTCTTGCTTATCCCCATATGAGAGCATTTCTCCTACAAAGGGAAAAAAAATCAGAACAAGAAATATTAACACCAATGATATAAACTCTACATAAAACTTTAGTGCAGAACAAAATAAAGTGTTGTTGTTAGGGGCCATCGAGTTGGTGACAATTCATAGTGACCCCATGTACGACAGAACAAAACATTGTCTATTATTTTAAATAGTATTAATTTTAAACTGTAAGCCTCAGATTATTTTAATTTTGGTAATTTAAACCATTTCTAAACTCAGGCATTAATGCAATGGATGAAGCAGCCAGATGCGAACTGTGGTGAGCTAGAGAGTGTGTGCTGCCCTGTCTACAGGTAGACCCAATGTTTTCGTATTTCTCTACTTTTACAAGAGAATCAAAAAAGTTTGGTTGTTGTTGTCATCAGGTGCCATGGAGTCGGTTACAACTCAGAGCGACCCCATGTACAACAGAAGGAAACACTGCCCAGTCCTTCGGCATCCTCACAATCTTTGTTATGTCTGAACCCACTGTTGCAGTCACTGTGTCAATCCATCTCATTGTGGGTTTTCCTCTTTTTTGCTGACCCTCTACTTTACCAAGCATGATGTCCTTCTTCCAGGGACCGGTCCCTCCTGACAACATGTCCAAAGTACGTGAGACAAAGTCTTGCCATCCTTGCTTCTAAGGAGGATGTATCTGGCTGTACTTCTTACAAGACAGATTTGTTCCTTCTTCTGGCAGTCCAAGACATAATCAATATTCTTCACCAACACCATAATTCAAAGATGTCAATTCTTCTTCAGTCTTCCTTATTCATCATTATCCAGCTTTCGCATGCATATAAGGTGACTGAAAACACCATGGCTTGAGTAAGGCACACCTTAGTCCTCAAGGTGACATCTTTGCTTTTTAGCACTTTCAAGAGGTCTCCTGCAGCAGATTTACTCAATGCAATGCATCATTTGATGTCTTGACTGCTGCTTCCATGGGCGTTGATTGTGGACCCAAGTAAAATGAAATCCTTGACAACTTCAATCTTTTCTCCTGTTTATCATGATGTTGCTTATTGGTCCATTTGTGAGGACTTTTGTTTTCTTTATGTTGAGGTGTAATCTATACTGAAGGCTGTAGTCTTTATCTTCATCAGTAAGTACTTCAAGTACTCTTTGCTTTCAGCAAGCAAGGTTGTATCATCTGCATATCACAGGCTGTTAATGAGTCTTCCTCCAATCCTGATGCTATTCTTCTTCAAACAGTCCAGCTTCTTGGATTATTTGCTCAGCATACAGACTGAGTAAGTATGGTGAAAGGATACAACCCTGACACACACCTTTCCTGACTTTAAACAACACAGCATCCCCTTATTCTGTTGGAATGACTGTCTCTTGGTCTATGTACTGGTTCCTCATGAGCACAATTAAGTGTTCCGGAATTCCCATTCTTTGCAATGTTATCCATAATTTGTTACAATCCACGTAGTCAAATGCCTTTGCATTGTCAATTAAACACAAGTAAACATCTTTCTGGTATTCTCTGCTTTCAGCCAAGAGCCATCTTTCTGACTTTAGCAATGATATCCCTCGTCCTGTGTCGTCTTCTGAATCCAGCTTGAATTTCTGGCAGTTCCCTGTTGATATACTGCTGCAGCCACTTTTGAATGATCTTTAGCAAAATTTTACTTGTGTATGATATTAATGATATTGTTTGATAATTTGCACATTCTGTTGGATCACTTTTCTTTGGAATGGGCACAAATATGGATCTCTTCCAGTCAGCAGGCCAGGTAGCTATCTTCCAAATTTCTTGGCATAGATGAGCAGGTACCTCCAGTGCTGTATCCGTTTATTGAAACATCTCAATTGGTATTCCGTCAATTCCTGGAGCCTTGTTTTTCACCGATGCCCTCAGTGCAGCCTGGGCTTCTTTAGTACCATCAGTTCTTGATCATATATCACCTCCTGAAATGGTTGAATGTCGACCAATTCTTTTTGGTACAGTGACTCTCTGTATTCCTTCCATTTTCTTTTGATGCTTCCTGCGTCATTCGATATTTTCCCTGTAGAATCCTTCAATATTACAATTCAAGGCTTGAATTTTTTCTTCAGTTCTTTCAGCTTGAGAAATGCTGAGAGTGTTCTTCCCTTTTGGTTTTCTAACTCCACGTCTTTCCACATGTCACTGTAATATTTACTTTGTCTTCTCAAGCTGCCCTTTGAAATCTTCTGTTCAGCTCTTTACATCTTTCGTTTCTTCTGTTCACTTTAGCTACTTGACGTTTAAGAGCAAGTTTCAGGGTCTCTTCTGACATTCATTTTAGTCTTTTCTTTCCCGTATTTTTAATGACCTTTTGCTTTCTTCATGTACGATTTCCTTGATGTCATTCCACAACTTGTATGGTCTTCAGTCATTAGTGTTCAATGTGTCAAATCTATTCTTGAAATGGTCTCTAAATTCAGGTGGGATATACTAACGGTTGTATTTTGGCTCTCATGGACTCGCTCTAATTTTGTTCTGCTTCAGCTTGAACTTGCATATGAGGAATTGATGGTCTGTTCTGCAGTCGGCCCCTGGCCTTTTTCTGACTTATGATATTGAGCTTCTCCATTGTCTCTTTCCACAGATGGAGTCGATTTGATCCCTGTGTATTCTATCTGGTGAGATCTATGTGTACAGTTGCCATTTACGTTGTTAAAAAAGGTATTTGCAATGAATAAGCTGTCGGCCTTGCAAAATTCTATCATGCGATCTCCAGCGTCATTTCTATCACCAAGGCCGTATTTTCCAACTACCAAGATCTCCTAATTTTCAACTAATTCAAATTGGCAACTAATTAAATTTAATTAGTGGTTAATTAATTTAGTTAGTGTTGGCAACTCATTAAAAATTGCTTAAAGCACCGTTCAGGCCAAAGGAAATACATCGTAAGCTGCATTTGGCCTCTTGGCCACCAATCTGCACACCCCCCAAAATAGCTTCTAAGTATCCCAGAGACTCTGTGATCCACAGAAGTAGGGAAAACGCACCTAGCCCCTCTGGGTTCCACTCTGTCACCTGGGATCTTAAGTAATGTTACTTATGCCCCCTCCACTCACCTCTCTCTCCCCTGTGTTTAGGCACTGATCAGTGGGGCAGGTAGGAGAGAGACACTAACTTCTGCTGCCATTGAGTCGATTCATAGCGACCCTATAGGACAGAGTACAGCTGCCGCATAGGGTTTCCAACACTTTAATCTTTATGGGAGCAGACTGCCACATCTTTTTCCCACAGAGCAGCTGGTGGGTTTAAACAGCCAGCCTTCTGGTTAGCAACCGACCACTTAACCACTGTACCACCAGGGCAGTGTAAACACTAACTGGCTCCCTCCATTTCCTTACTTTGCCCCAAGTGCTAGCATACAAAACCATTCTTCTTCAATTCTAATGCTAATTAAGTCCTTCAAACTTGACTATCAACTTGCCAGAATTGCCAAATCATGTATGAATCCCAGGGCTCAAAGCTAAATAAGAAAAGAACACTGTGGCAGACAACCTCTAACATTACCCCCAAAGACTCTTGCTTCCTGTTCTTCACCCCCTTGTGTAATCCCTTGCCCTTGAGTGTGGGCTAGGTTAAGTGACTTGTTTCTAACAAATTGAATTTAGCAGAAGTGATGGAAAATTACTTCCAAATTAGGATACAAAAGACTGTGGCTTCTGTCTGGGGTGCTCTTGTATTCTCACTCTATCTTGGATCTCTCACCCTGTGGGGAGGCAGACCTGTAGAGACGACCATGTGGTCAGGGACCAAGGCCTGCTAACAACCATGAGTGTGAGCTTGAAGACAGACTGCCCCAAAGTCAAGTCATTAGATGAGACTGCAGCCCCAACTGATAGAAGCACCCAGATTCCTGACCCATAGAAGCTGTGATGTTTGTTGTTTTAAACCATTAAGTTTTAGCATAATTTGTTATACAACAATAGATAACTATAGTGGGTTGAACTGTGTCTTCTAAAATGGTATGTTCAAGTCCTAACCCCCAGTACCTGTGAATGTGACCTTATTTGGAAAAAGGGTCTTTGCAGATAGGTAGGCCCTAAATCCAATGACTAGTGTCCTTACATAAGGAGAGGACACAAAGACACAGAGACACACAAGTAAGATGGAGGTAAAGACGGGAGTGATGCAGCTACCAGCCAAGGAGCGCCAAGGATTGCTGGGAGCCACCAGAAGCTAGGAAGAGGCAAGGAAGGATCTTCAGAGGGAGCGTGGCCCTGCTGACCCCTTAATTTTGGATTTCTAGCCCCTAGAACTTTGAAACAATAAATTTCTGTTGTTTTAAGCCACTGAGTTTGTGGTAATTTGCTATGGCAGCCCTAGGAAACTAACACAATAACTAATACAGTATAGAATGGGGGCATGGACTTTGAAACAGAAAACATGTGAAATGACTGAAACCATCTGAGATGACTGATAAGCACAGAGTAGAGTCAAGGAAGGTAACAATCCCACCGTATTAGGCCTAAAAGTCAGCCCTAGAATCACAGTGAAAAATCTAGGTTTAGCAAGACTGCATGTCAGTCTTTATAACTGGCTAAGAAATATGCCTTTGGTAAAGAGATGGGTTAACAATAAAGTAGACAGAAATCTGGGTAGAACTTCCAAGGGCTGAAACCTGGAGATTTCCAGAAGAGAGAGAGGGAAAAGGATATAAGCATAACACATCTACAGGTTTGGAAGAAGTATCATTGGAGGCCAGTTAAGGAAGTTCATCTGGTCAAGCCAACCTGGACCTAGATTTCACATAAGATCCAAAAAAGACCAAACCCACTGCCATCGAGTCGATTCCAACTCACAGTGACTCTACAGGACAGAGTAGAACTGCCCCATAAGGTTTCCAAGGAGCGGCAGGTGAATGCAAACCGCTGACCTTCTGGTTAGAAGCAAAGCTCTTTAACCATTACGCCACCAGGGCTCCTTCACTTAAGATAAGTTTTTAAAAAAAATCAGCACACTACACTTGTGTATCCTTTTACTTTTATAGTTTTTATCTTACTTTGTTTCTCCCTTAGTTTTCCAGTAAAGTTCTTAAAAAAAAAAAAAAAAAATCCGATTTTGCTTACATAAACTAAGGGGCAAAGGAATTTGTCTACCCTAAGGACAGCTTCCACCACCCATCTGTGTTTGTCATACTGCCATGGCTTACATGTTGCTGTGATGCTGGAAGCTATGCCACTGGTATTTCAAATGCCAGCAGGGTCACCCATGGTGGACAGGTTTCAGCAAAGCTTCCAGACTAAGACAGACTAGGAAGAAAGGCCTGGTGATCTACTTCTGGAAATCAGCCAATGAAAACCTTATGGATTACAACAGAACATTATCTGACTCACTTGCTTTGGACATGTGATTAGGTGAGATCAATCGATAACAGAAGGACAAACTTTGGTGAAGCACAGGGCCAACATGAGTGAAAGGAACTCTAAGTGAGACGGACTGGCATCATAGCTACAAGGATGGACTCAAACATGCCAGTGATCCTGAGGATGATACAGGACCAGGCAACTTTTCATTATGTTGTACACAAGGCCACCATGAGCTGGAGTCCACCTGACAGCAGCTATCTATGTATCTATCTAAGGATACCACAGTACCCTTTTAGAGACTAGGTATACTGGATGCAGTAACAACTATAGCTGGACATCTGGAAAAAGCTTCTGGAACTGAAATAGATGGGAGAAGAAAATTCAGATAGCTCTGTACAACTATGCTAGATAATCCCTTCTCACTGGTTTTTTCACAGTAGCAGAGACATTTAAGTACTATAAAAACTGAGTCAGGAAAAGCTATGTGGAAAGGTAGCATTTGAGCTAAGTCTCTGTCAATGTGTAGAATCTGAACTGAAAAAAGAACATCTGGATGAGGGAAACCATGCAAGAAAATGCTTAACGATAGGAATGAGCATACATGGCACGTACATGGGCCAGAAAAAGATTAACAAAATATAGCTGTATACAAAAGCCATGACAGCTAAATGTTGTTCCTTTTAAAGGTATCCAACCATTAATGACCCAGGACATGAGCACTACTACATAAAATAGTATGTTCTTTTTCATATGAGGAAACACAGGGACAAATGGATTGCCTGAGATGGCATAAAAACCTGATAGAACCAACCATAGGAATAATGGCACCTTTATATTCTGTGTTATTTCTGTCTTCAGGGATTTAAATCTATTCCACAAGAAAAAATAATTCAACTGTAAAACTGCTTTTCAAAAAAAATAGCAGAAAATATTGTGCCCAACTTAAAAGAGATTACCATTTTATATTAACAGGAAAATCATATATTTTCTTATACGAAGAAATATTTAAGAAACAAAAAGCTAATTTTCACACTCTTCTCAACCCAATGTATCTATATTCACATATTATAATAAGGCTCCCACTCTTGAGAATCAGTAATCTAATCCAATAATGATGAATAAATAAGCCTAGAGAAGTGACTGACTTGTGTAAGGTAACCCAGTGGCAGACCCTGGAGCCTCCTACTCCAAATCCACTACATACAACCTCTCTCTCAGTCCACCTTTTATTTTACAATGTAGTGTGCTCTTCAGCTTAACACTCTTCAAATACTAAACCCGATGAACAGTGTTGCACACCTTATGTGACAAATTTAGGCTTCATTTTTTTATTAGGCTCTGAAATTATAATGTCCAAAAAGAACAATTTTCCACAATACCAGTATTCCACAGGCAAACAAAAGAAACAGCAGTTTCCCGTTTTAATTCCTCTTGAGTTTTTTTAACATATACTTTTAGCAATAAATAGTGCTTTTTTTAAAAAACAAAGAAGAACCTGTGTTAACAAAACTAAATGGAGATTCAACAATTCATAGTATACCAAAAAATTACTTAATTAAGGTTGCAAACCTTTAAGAAGCTTCTTCTGTAGTTCATCAGAGTATCTCAGGGCCCCAAGATGAAGAAGAACCTGAGGTAATCTATAGTCAGCAAACATGGTGATACTGGAAATGTCCTTAAAGCAACCATCTCCTTGTCCTTCTAACACACTCCATGTATCCGCCACAAGGATCTGGGCCCGTTTATAAAAAGAAATCCTTTTTCCCTGATCAATGAAAAGCATATAATTGTTAGTGGGTACCTGAAAGCTTTATGCATGTTATAAAAAAAGGCACATGTTGTGAACATTTTTTCAAGGGCAGAATAATCTTTCTTACTTTGCTAGTAAGAATTTATAGACCTTTTACAGAAAAAAAAAAGTCTACTAAACATTAATTTCCTACATTGCTACAAATTTACTCCCTATTGTTTTCATGGCACAGAAAATACAATTTATGTAATCGTAGTACTATTTAAGTGTTCTTTTTCAGTGGCATTACTTCATATACACATTTCTATGTGTCACCATTATCTGATAGCTTATTATGTCTAATGGCTAGTCCTTTTCAAAGTTTCTTAAATTTAATATATATATATGTTTTTTATGATTACAACAGTAATTTCCCTTAGCTGAATAAAATATAGAAGAGTATAGAGAAGAAAGTAATCATCCCTAAGCTTACTTTTGAAGATAATCACAACATTCATTAATTTTTTAACTGTTTCTTTTCAGATAATATGATTAATTTAAATTTATGTTAGTGATAAGAGTATAACTGATCTACGACCGGAATTTATCTACTCTACTATTTTTGCAAACGGTTAAAGTCAATATGTAAGTCCATATACTAAAAACAACCTAAGTATATTTATACATGAAGAAACAAATTTAACCAAGCATTATAAGATGGTAGGTTATAATTTAACTCAGGAATTTTCTGTAAAACTACAAATGAAGATCAGTATAGACTAAGGAAAACGTAAGACAATCACAATTTACTTCTAGTCCTAATACCAATGGTAAAAACCTCACATCATCTTCATACAACTGCTTGTCTGCTAAATGGGAAAAATCAATATTACTTGCTCCCCAAATATATCCTGACCATCTTAGAGAATGTTTTAATAAGTAAATGACATAATTAAAAAATTAAATTCCTCAAGGAAAGGCTCCACACAAATAGGAGTTCCATAAGATGATAACATAAATTCCTTTATTTACCATATTTCTATACAAATAACATGTGCGTTATATGTTTTTTGCCAACTACACAAGCTCCCTCCCTATTTTCGTAAGCAAGCTACACCACACATTATATGCGTGGGCACGTTATTTGCGAAAATACAATCCTAAGAAAACTCCAATTATATTCTATACTAATGACAAATAATCTAATATTGCTTAACCTTAAGGTACATCTGTTGAAATCAATCCAGACCTACTTTTACTAAATAAATTAATACTAAGGTCACCATTAGGAAATTCAGGATCATGTTTTCCAGGGCAAACACATATGGTCATTTCTCGACACGTCGTAAAATCTGTAAATTAAATTTAGTGCTGGGAGAACAAATCACCATTTAGAAGCATTCCTACATGATGTTATGAATCTATATTCCCAAACTTTTCCAAATATGGCAACCTCTACATAAAATGGCCTTATATACACTAGCAAGGTTTCTAGTTCCAGGTCTAGTGTATAAAAAGCAAGATATAAAACTCAACTATTAAACACAATTATACCAGAAAGTGTATTACAATAAAAAAAAACCACACCCACTGCCATTGAGCCGATTCTGATTCATAGTGACCCTACAGAACAGAGCAGAACTGCCCTATGGGTTTCCAAGCAGGAGCTGATGGATTCTAAGTGCCGACCTTTTGGTTAGCAGCTGAGCTCTTCTTAACCACTGAGCCACCAGGGCTCCTTATTACAATAGACAGAAACTATTACCTGCTATTTTTCAAGAAGATTTGTAGAGCAAAATGGAAAAAACTAGGGATAAAACCTGTGTAACAAATCAGTGCTAGCACCTAAGAAAACATATAAATTGTCAAATCATGACCACTGTTTCCATGGTAGCAGTCTAGTTCATCACAAAGATTATGTTATAATACCATTTAAAATGAAAAGAAAAAAACACACACACACAAAATAAGATTTAAGTGAGGAATTTAAAAATAAATTCAAATAATCTATAAAACATTTTCTTAATAAGCTGGTTATGGTTTTAGTAAGCAAATGATTTTAGTAATTGAATTCTGGTCTCTAAAGTATTAACTGATAGCACTGAAAATACCAGTAAATCCCAAAATAACAATTCCCTATATGTTCCATAATATTGCTTTGTGAACACATTATTTTCAAAATACCTTTACAAAAAAATTATCAGTGAAGAACTCTATGAACATAAGTTAATTTTCATCAACAAACTCTTCAATAAATTTATCATGAATAGAAAGGTCAAAGATGACAAATGTTATCTACTGAACTATCAAAAAAGGTGATCATTCTCATGCACATTTATCAGTATGTCAGAGTAAAGATGATAGCTTAAGGAAGCAGATTCATTAGTTAGTACTTTCACACAGTTACTGCATATCTAAATCAGAGTCATTTAAAGGGCATAAAATGTAGTTCCTCTTTATCTATTGATCAGAATATCTGAGGGTGGGACTTGGAAACATATCTGAATTTTAAGCTTCCTAAGTGATTCTGGGATACAGCCAGCTTTGGAAACTGATCTAAATCTTTAAAATTTCTAACTTCATTAAAATTTGTTTAAAAAACAAAACCTATTGCCATCAAGTGGATTCCAACTTATAGCAACCTAATAGGACAGAGCAGAACTGCCCTATAGGGTTTCTAAGGAGCAGCTGGTGGATTCGAACTGTTAACCTTTTGGTTAGCAGCCACAGCTCTTAACCTAGTCTGAGTAAATAAGTATATATTTAAAGCAATTACAACTATATTTGTGCAAACTGTCAAAGATTAAAAAATATAGCAACCAAGGTTGGTGAAGGGGTAGAGAAAGGGCACTCTCATATGCCGCTGATAGTCTTGGTTATCATCTTTGTGGAGAGCAGTCAGCATTGTCATGTATCAGAAGGCTGAAAATCCCAGCCAAGTTCTGGCTCGGCAATTTCACTACTAGGAATGCATTCTAAGATAATAATTATTGTTTCTAGAAAGATTTAAACAGTTGTACAGTATTGCTTATAATCGCATAAAGCTAAAAACAGCTTAAACAGCCGACAAATAATTATGGTACTGTACATTCATATGGTGGAATATTGGGAAACCATGAAAAATGTTGCTGTGAAAGAATTTTTATCAACATTAGAAAGACATTTATAATATGATATTAAGTTTAAAAATTTATACAGCATGATCCTATTTTTGTCCCCCTGGACCCATGTATTCACACACATAGGAAAAGATCAAATAGTGAACAGTGGTTATCTCTGGGTGGTAGAATGGAGACTGCTTCTCTGTACAAATTCTGTAATTAACATGTTTTACTTTTGCATTAGAAAATTTAAAAATATGAATAAAAAGATATATTTGAATTTAACACTTTAAATTTGAATTGACTGATCAAAGCATTAAGACGGCACCCACATGTGTTCAGTATTATGCTAGGTGCCGTAAGGGCTACAAAAATACAATGTTTTTGGGTGAACACCAATGATAATCTCACTTGCTACTGCATGGGAAAAATAAATGCATAATATTCCTTTAAGAATCTGCTAAGATTCTTAGTGTGATTTTTGTTACGTTTTGGGGATTTTTCTCTAAGAATGTATTTTAGAAATTAGTACTGATGGGAAATGGCTCGATGTACCAATTTTAAAATCTAATCTATATCCTAATGCATTTTTTAAAAATCGAACTTTTCAGCAAAGCATATCAAAAGCACTATGCTGTAAATAAAACAATCTCAGTAAATGCTTGTTACGTCAATACTATAATCTACCAAAAAAAAAAAAAAATTTCACTTCTTTCCTCCAAAAACACAAAAAGAAAAAACAGGACAACTTGAAAGTAAACTACATGGTGTCCCAAATTCATTCCATCCTGAAGTCACATTAAATTTAATCTTAGTCTTTCTTCTACTACAACCATGTAGATTCTAGAATATATGGATTATTACATATATGAATGACAGTTAAATAAGATTTCTTTCATACACTGTTTAATATTAGATGGCCTGAATGATGTAGCAAGGAACTTGAAAAAAAAGACTGAAATGACTTATGCCTCAAAGACAAAGTTAAATCTCAAAGTAACCCTTGCATTAGCACAATGCTCAGTCAGAAACAGAATGAAATTCAACAGTGGCCTAGGGCCTCTTTTCTAGGAACTGTCTGCTCCATCCACACCCTGCAGCCACACTTAATTGGTCATAATCCTTGCCTGTTCAATCAGTCCTTGTCCAGGATTTTTGGAACTGGAACTGAGAAAGAGTGTCTCCCCTTCTTTGATGGCTGAAGCAATAAGATGCAAAATTCATGAACTGTTACATTTTCTACTTCATGGAGAAATGTGTCTGCAGTAAAAGTGGCACCACATAAGCAAAAGATGAGAAATAGAATCCTGATGGCATTTGAGTCCCTGGTCCTGCATGTTCATGAAGCAGCTATATCCCTGTTCCCGATCCCATCCAAAAAGTCCTCTTTTAAACTTTAGAAATCTAGTTTCTGTGTCTGCCACTGCAATTAAAAGAATCTTAACTAACATACATAATCAGGCATCTCTCATTTTACAGAGGCAGACTGACAAAATGTAGACTCAAAAGGCTAGCTACTTATTTCTTGACTATTTAACCTCTCAGACTTGATTCCTTGTCTGCAAAAAGGGGACCATAATGCTCCTAGTCCTTAGGACCTACAGAGCTGTTCCGTGGATCAAATGAGACTGTATGTGCAAATACATTTTAAGTCATGAAGTACAATTAAAACAGTATATTATTGGTAATTTTAGTTGTTGTTGAATTGTAATCACAGAGAATAGCTATAAAATTTCCATTTGGTATATGTATCCATTAGCTTATTCAATGAATCAATTTATATTATGTGATTCCTCTGAAGTTGACTCCAATTGTGTCACAATTAAAATACACAGTGATAAAGGATTCTAAAAGAGTTTTATAAAAACAAAATCCAGGTGCACCCTGGAAGAATATAAAAATGTTCACCATTAAAAAATACATCTAGTCAATCTTGTTTTGTACCATAAAGCAAATATCATTAAAGTACATTGAGTATGAAAAAGAAAACACATAGTATATAACTTAGAACTAATTTTATTAGAGTAGAATTTAGTATGCATTCTCATTTTCATCCAAATTTTTTGAAGTAGTAAAAGGACCTCATTATCCCCAAGTGACAACATCATACTGAAGGTCAGGTTTGAAACATTTTAAAAGTACAAAGTAAAAAAGGACAAAAGAACAGAGCAGACGTACTGATTAGAAATCAGTTACTCTTTCTTGTCCACAGGGAATGAACTTCAAAACTTTAGTTTCTATTCTCAAAAGCAGTTCTGGAAGTAAAAGAGTTAACTCATTAAGGATCGATAAGAATTCTAAAATCCCCAACAGAAGCAACTCACCTCAAACTGAGTCACATCTCTGTAAGAAGGAAAACTTTCAACTACCAGGTGCATTAACTTCTGTGCGCTTTGTTCACTTTTTCGGACACAATTAAGAAAAGAGCCTTCAAACTTCTCGAGCAGAATTTTCCCAGTTTCATTCAGAATCCTATGCCTCTCTTCTATCAAAGGCATGGGAACGTCTGTGTCAGAACGGAATATATGCTGAACCTGCTCCAGGGTCACTGTGGCATAGTAGGAGGCACTAGTTATTGGTATACCTTTAAAGAAAAAGAAAATGTTTTTCATAGGCGCAATGTCATACTTGTATATTCATTAGACCTCTACTTTTACAACACACAATTAATATGAAACCAAATAAGAGTGTTAGAGGAATGCACCAGAAGTGGATGAAAAATAATAAAAATCAGAAGAAACTTCATTTTCTATTTGCTTGTCTGTACTTAACAGTTGTAATACTACATCAGGTGTATTTTGGCTGCTTAAAATGTTTTTTTAATATCTATCCCTTTGTTCTTCAGGTGTCATCAAAGTGGCATGCTTTAGAAAGCTGACTTTTATGCTTATACATAATGGTAAATATTAGTATCATTTCCACTAAGGATTGAACATCAGCTTCTTCTGCTACTTTTATTTTAAGCCGAGGGGCTGGCGATGAAGAACTTCAGGTTTGCCTGATTAACAGATTATTCCACCTCCCAACTTGCTCCTTGGGACCCCAGGAAACTGAAACTTTCCACAGGGAGATGCTGCACCAACCTTCGTCGAGGGCTCGGTTAACTGCGGCGCACAGAGACCAGTATCCACTGTACGTTTTTCCCCTGTAAGCCACCAGACACTTGTGCTCGTCGTGCTCCGACCAAAAGGAGAAATTAAGTGTGTCTATCACGAATACCCAGTTGACCGCGGCCTCGTCGGCCGCCTTGGGATTCAGCTCGTGAAGGGTCTTCCACCCCGACACACGCAGCTCGGGCCCAGCGGCCTTCGCGAGCAGCAGCTCCGCCACCCTCTGCACGCCTGCGCCGTCGATGAACACATCCTGACTGTTTTCTGCAATGAATTTTGCAGATTCTCTGGGAGTTAGAATCCCGCCCATCCTGCCTTTCCCCTGCAAGACTGGGAAACCACGCTTCTCACCGCGGACTTGCCAAAGTCTCTTCTCCAAGCGTGGAGTCACAGGCCCTCTTAGGCAGCGCAAGGTCCAGGCTTCGCGAGCGCCTCGCCCTCCCTACCCACCGTGGGATCACCGCCCTAAAAAAAGCCCCGCCCCCCCCAATGAGTGGCACCTTGAGTTGAGGGCGCGGGCGGACGCCGGCTTCGCTCACTCCCTAAGCACTCGCTCGGCCCGAAACCGCGGAGACTGCTGGGCCGCGCGCCAAGCCGAGGCCCGCAGGCATTTCCGGGTAAGTGGCCCTGCCTATTCTCGCACTGGCCCGTTTCCGGTCCCGAAGGTCCGGCTCGGACTTGGCCCACCCCAAGACTCGCGGCAGCGCCGCCATTTTGTTCTTGCTTTCGTTCCATCCCCCACGTTGCGTGTGACACGCGAAAACTGCGGTTTGCCGCAGTGACCCCGTTCGCGATGACTCCAACCGGTGCACAGCGTTACCTTCACCAGGCGCTCGCTGTTCTCCCCGGAAGGCGAAGTCTGGCCGAGACGCTTGATGAGGCCCCTCATCCGGACCCGAGGCCGCGACAAGCATTTTGATCGTCGGTTTCGGCGCGGGGGGCCGAGTCACCCCCAAACTGTGACACGGGGTGGCGGTCCCCGGGCAAGGCAGGCGCAGGCTGGTTCCTTCCTTTGCTAAATTCCTGGCCCATTTGGAGGCTAGATGAACGTTAGTTGGAACGTTTGGAGAATTGGATGAAGAAATAAGTGTATCGAATGGTTAAATTAACATTGTATGCCTGGAATTGTGTTTAAATTCTGAATCTTATTTAGTCGCAATCATGACAAAAGCTGTTCTTGTGATTCCCATTTTGCAAGTGAAGCTGAGTGGTTCAGTGACTAGCCCCAGGTCAAAGCAAGGGTCAGCGCTGAGTTTGGAACCTTTGTCGGTCCCAAGTCAAAGGCACAAAGAGTCGAGTTCACCAGCGCCAAACATTATGGTGGTCAAGTAGTGACCCACATAGCAATAGCCCAACTGAGGAGAGATTAATGAAGGAAATAAGCAATACAACATCACCTTACCATCCCAAACTTTTTTTTTGTTTAAATCTTTAATAGAGCGGTGCTAGACTCGGTGATGATCCAACTTTGCCTGGTGATCAAGTTTTAATAGAGAGATATGCATTTTTTTCTCCGTGAGAGATTTAATTCTCCATGGATAATATAAAATGTTCACACCTTTGAAAACCATGTATTAAAAATAATCATCAGTAAGTCATCTTTTGTTGTCAGTAGTAAACTTTCTTCCCTGGGCTTTTTGAAGGATTTGGAACTTTTAAGCTTGACAGCTTTGTTCCTAGAGAAGCTGAATGTCTTCATCCTTTCAGTTTCTTCATTTTGGTAAGAAAAGGGAACTTTAAGGACTCTACTATGACATACGTTTCCAGACAAAGTCACTAGTCCATTAATACAGTTGTTGAATAAATGTAAATCTGTCCGCTTGAGGTTTTTTCCTGTCTACCCCAGCAGCTGAGTCTCGGGAGACAAAGAAATTGATTAGCAAGAAAATCTAACAGTCTACAAAAGAATCTAGCAGATGAAATAATTCAGGCCATTTCCTCCTCTCATTGAGGCTTGTTGACAGAAAAGTCAACAACTTTAAGTTCCTGTATGTTTGCCACATTGAGTTAGACACCAGGAGTACTATACCAGTTGCTGGAGAGTCCGTTCTGACTCATGTCAACCCCATGTGTGTCAGTAGAACTGCACTCCATAGAGTTTTTGAGGCCTGTGACCTTTTGGAAGCAGATTGCTAGGGCTTTCTTCCAAGGTGCTTCTGGGTAAGTTTGAACTGCCAAACTTTCAGTTACTGGTCAAGTGCTTAACTATTTGTGCCACCCAGGGACTCCAGGAGTAGTATGAACAACTATAAAACACACTTCCCTTTCCCAAGAAGTGTATAGTAGAGATAAAGAATAAACTTAATTTTGAAAAGGTATTTATTTATTTTTAAGTACTGTATGTATACAAGTGCTGGGGATACAAAAATGAGTTCTTTACCTACTTAGCACCCATTTCTGCCTTCCTTCTTCCCAACAGAACGTTAGAGATCGTTCCCTCTTACCTACAGTCCCTGTAGCTTAGTACTCTCCGTTCCGGGAGTGGTCCAGACTGGTCTAACAATAATATCACCCTCTTGCCAGGGACTGGATTAGGATCATACTTGTGCACTAATTCAATGAGTTGTAAGGATGGATTGGCTAGATGCTTCCAGGAAAGTTTTTTCTCACTGTTCCAGAACTTCCAGAAGTGACTCACACTCCCTCTGGACTGAGCTTGGCTGTGAGGTCTAGAATTGCTGCAGTCATTTTCATGGCAACATGAGTATGAAGCCAGCACATGCGGAAGGGCAAGGCCAAAAGAAGAGCAGAAAGTGGAGCTGTAGTAATGGGATTACATCAGCTGTAAAGCCTGTCCTACATTTGGGTCTCCAGTTATGTGGAGTTAAAGAGTAAAGCAGTTTTGACTTGGGTTTTCTATTACTTCCTACGAAAACTTCTGTCTCACGTAGGGAGCAAATACAGAATGTCTTACATCTTATGATCTGGTGGAGAAGGCAGACAATCAAATGTCTGGTTATGATTGTGCTTCAAGCAACAGAAAACCGGACTATTGTGACTCAAACAAAAGGGACTTTTTTTTCCCATATAATAAGTCCAGAGGTAGGCACTCCCGGGCTGATGCAGCTGTTTGAGAATGACAGCAAGGAACTAGGCTCGCTCTTGCTCTCTGACACACCACCCTTAGCATGTGATTTTTCTCTTTGTGGTTGTAAGATGGCTCCACATCTATAAGCATTGTGTCCACAGAACGGAGGTGGGAAGTAAAAGGGGCAAAGGACCAAAGGATCATGTCAGCTGAGTGTTTCTTTTGAAAACCTTTGCCAGAAGTTCTACCCTGTGGGCATAGGCTTTTTTTTTTTTTTTTTTTTAATTGTACTTCAGGTGAAGGCTTACAGAACAAATAGTTTCTCATGAAACAGTAGTGCACATGTTGTTTTATGACATTGGTTAACAACCCCAAAACATATCAACCCTCTAACTTCTCAACCTTTTTTTTGGTGAAAATACACATAGCCAAAGATACACCATTTCAAAAATTTCTACATGCACAGTTCAGTGACATTGACTACGCTCTTCCAATTGTGCTGTTATTCTCACTTAAGATGAAGGCTTATAGAACAAAACAGTTTCCCATTTAACAGTTACTACAAATGTTGCCCTATGACAATGGTTAACAATCTCACAACACATCAACAATATCCTTACTCAACCTTGGGTTCCCTATCACCAGCTTCCTTGTCTCCTTCTGCCTTCTGGCCCTTGGGCATAAGCTTTTGAAGAGAAAATCATGATGACCTCTAAATCATCCCTAATCTCTCATTTTTACAGGTTAACAAAGGAGGGAGGTATGATCAATGATGTTGTATCCCTATCACCTTACCCCCTCCTGAACAGTATCCACGTTGGGTTATTGCAGTCATGAAGAGAACCATCATTCTGAATAGCTAAAGTAAATGTCAAGCACTTGGCAATGATTATTGCTACATCTTGTATTTTCTGTCATCATACACAATAAAGAAATAGAAAGTTAAGAGAGATTCTTGAGGAAAAGTTGCAAAATTGACTAAAGCAATGGATGAACAATAGACATTGCTGGAGAGGAGGTTGTAGTTTCTTGGATATGCAGGAGTTAAGCAGAGAAGTAAAGCAGGTTTTGTGAAGATAGATGTCATGGATGGAATTGTGTCCCCAAAATATGTGTGTCATCTTGGCTAGGCCATGATTCCCAGTATTGTGTGGTTGTCTACCATTTTGTGATCTGATGTGATTATTCTATGTTTTGTATATCCTAACCTCTATAACGTTAATGAGGCAGGATTAGAGGCAGTTATGTTAATGATGCCGGATGAAGTCTGCAGGATTAGGTTGTATCTCGAGTCACTCTCTTTTGAGATATAAAAGAAAGACGCGAGCAGAGAGGAGAGGGACCTCCTACTACCAAGAAAGAAGAGCTGGGAGCTAGTGCATCCTTTGGACCTGGGATCCCTGTGCTAAGAAGCTGTTAGACCAGGGGAAGATTAATGACAAGGACCTTCCTCCAAAGCAGGTCAGCGAAAAAGAGGAAGACTGTCAATGAGATGGATTGACACAGCAGCTGCAGCAATGGTCTCAAGCATAACAACGATTGTGAGGATGGCACAGGACCAGACAGTGTTTCGTTCTGTTTTACAAAGGGTCGCCATGAATCTGAACCGACTCGACGGCACCTAACAACAACAACAAACTGAGAGAGAATAAATTTCTATTTGATAAAGCCATCCACTTGTATTTCTGTTATAGCACCGCTAGATAGCTAAGATAATAGGACACCTCAGTTATTTTATGACTCCCCCCACAGCCCCAAAGGGATGAACAGACTAAAGCTGTAAGAAAGTTTAGCAGAAGAGAGCCATGGTTCACCACAGTATAATTTTTCTCTGTTTCTTTTCTCCTTGATTTACCTATTTTCCACATTTAAGATTGACCACTTCCTTAAAATTCTTTGGCTTCCAGTTTTCTTAGTGCTGTTGAAGACTTTTTCTCTTCCTACTCTTCATATTGAATGTAGAATATATCATCTACGTGTAAAGTTTCAGCCAGTAACATTCAGACTGTGCCTTAGGGACTGCATGATTAAAAATCGGAACAGGTGTGTGGCAGGGTTGTATTCTTTTACCTTACTTATTCAGTATACATGCTGAACAAATAATCCTAGACGCTGGACTCTTTGAAGAAGAATGTGGCATAAGAATTGGAGGAAAACTCATTAACAATCTGAGATATGCAGATGACACAACCTTGCTTGCCAAACATGAAGACAGCTTAAAGCACTTACTGATGAAGGTAAAAGACTACAGCCTTCAGTATGGTTTATGCCTGAACATAAAGAAAACTAAAATCCTTACGAGACCAATAAACAACATCATGATAAATGGTGAAGAAATGGAAGTTGTCAAGGATTTCATTCATCTTGGATCAACAATCAATGCCCATGGAAGAGGCAGTCAAGAAATTAAACGACAGATACCTGATCTTCGACAAAGGGTTGAAGTCCGTTAAATGGGGAAGAGATAGTCTTTTCAACAAATGTTGCTGACAAAACTGGATATCCATCTGCAGAAAAATGAAATAGAATCCAAACTTCCCACAATACACAAAAATAACTCAAAATTAATCAAAGACCTAAATGTAAAACCCAAAACTATAAAGTTCATGGAAGAAAATATATGGACAAACCTAGAGGCCCTAATTTATGGCATAAACAGACTATCAAACATAACTAAAAATGCACAAAAAGCAGAAGATAAAATAGATAACTGGGACTTCCTAAAAATTAAATACTTATGCTCATAAAAAGACTTCTCCAAAAGAGTGAAAAGAGAACCTACAGCTTGGGAAAAACTTTTTAGCAATGACATATCTGACAAGAGTCTGTAAAAATGGCATGGGGGCAGCTTCTGACCTCCTCTAACTTTGTAGGGGGAAGGGAAGGAGAATCAAGATCAACAGCCCAAGGCTGATTTCTATGAAGTCGAGGTTAGATGTGCCCCCTCTCTCTGCCATCTTTACGAAGCCTGACACCAGCCATCCCTCCCACAGCACTCTCTACTTCTGTGCTGGGTTCAATAATTCATTGCAATGGCCACAAAGAACTCACAGACAATACTCACAATTATGGGGTTTATCAGGGAAGTAACAGGTTACAATTCAGGTTCAGGAACACTCAGGCTACAGGTCTTCCATCAGGACAGCTTCTTTCCGGCCATGCCAGAGGCATGCCTTTCTCTGGCCCCTCAGCCTCTGCCCTGCTCAGGGGCACGTGTTACAAAGCTGTTTTAGTTCTGCCAATAAATGCCCGGAAGCACCCCACTTGTCCAGTAAGCATCAGCCCAAAGGCACTCAGCTTTCTTGCACCGTCTCCTGCTAGTCTCTCCTGCTGCCATTTCTCTGCCAGAACGTCTTGCTGTCTTAAGTGTTACAGCTCTCACTGTCTCCTGGTTCCAGGAGCTTCTCAGTGCAGGGATCCTGGGTCCAAAGGACATGCTCCACTCTTGGTTTTCCTTCCCTGGTCGTGGTGGAATCCTCTCTCTCGCCTCTGGGATGGCTTACCTCAAGCCCAGCAGGATGGCAAAACTGACCAATCCCTTTGGTGGGCCACAATTACCGTATCTGCACAGTCCTGCCCAATCACCTGGGTGGGAATTACAAGACCATGGTGAGAAAGGCCACACAAAAGCAATCCACTGCACCACTGCGTCTAATCTCTGAACTATATAAAAAACTTCAAGATCTCAACAACAAAAGGACAAACAATCCAATTAAAAAATGCGCAAAGGACATGAACAGATACTTCACCAAAGAAGACATCAGGTGGCTAACAAACACATGGAGAGATACTCACGATCAATGATTAGCCATTAAAAAAACTAAACCCCAAACCCATTGCCATTGAATCGATTCCAACTCATAGCGACTCTATACTCATAACAACCCTATAGGACAGAGTAGCACTGCCCTATAGCGTTTCCAAGGAGTGGCTGGTGGATTCAAACTGCCAACTTTTTGGTTAGCAGCCGAATGCTTAACTAGTG